TTTTAAGCTTTAGTACCGATGGAAAAGTGCTATTAAGAAAAACTAACCCGTCAACTTAAAATCTAGTATGAATATGAAAGACAGAGATAATATTATCATTTATTTTGCATTATTTATTTATTAAATAAATTTTAATTGTATTTAAATTCGATCAACAGTTCTCGATGTTTTATCTAAGAACATACTCGACATTTGTGCGTCTGATTTTTGGTTTTCTTTTCGTAGGTAAATTATATCTTTCAATAAACCTACATTGATTTTATTAGATGAAGTACGTCTTGGATTTCCTTCTCTTGCTGCAATATTTCTTCTCTCATAAAATCTGCCGATTTACTCTAAATAGGAAAAGTATTAGTGATGCATTTTTTCATTTTTCTAATGAAACATTCATACTTTTTCATTCATCTCTTCTTCATCATTTTCCCATTCTTTTCTTTGATGATCAAATTCATCATTGTTCCATTCTTGATCATGTCTTTCTGCTTGATCAAACATTTCTTGATTATAAAAACTATTTGCATGATCTTGTTCATTTTGTTTGATTATATCGATAAGCATCGAAATTTTTCGATCATGTTCTATGAATGAAGCACGATTATTGATGAGAATAAAACGATTGTTACATTTTATCAAGAATTCTTGTAATTTTTTTGGTACCTCTTGAAAATATTTTCGTATAACTTCATTATCAGATATGTGTTTATCATCGTTTCGTACTTCATCTTCATGAGTAATAATAAGAATAAAATAGTCCATTAAATACTGTCCAAATTTTTTCTGTAATATATCGAATACTAATTGATCTTCATTTGTGTAGCGACCGTAGACAACAATAAGAAAAGCATGAGGACCCGCTGCAGCAAGTTGAAAACCGATTCTTAATTGTTCCATTGTTTCAGTGATTGATTTCTTCGTATCGAATAGGCCAGGCGTATCAACAACAACTAATTTTTGATCAGCATATTTTCGATAAGGCGTTTTTGCCTTTTGAGTTATAGAGGATGATGAGATTCCAGTTATAAATGGAAAATTTCTTTCTTCACTTCCACAAATTGAATTACCGACAGCACTCTTTCCGTAAAGAAAAATAAATATTATTATCATTTGGCAAAATAATGGAAAAAAATTTCAAATATACCTCGACCAGTTCTACCGAGGAGTATCATCCTCATGTCTTGTAAAGATTGGGATTGATCATTGTCATAATCATTCATTTTATTCTTTTGTTTTTTGAACCGCTCTCACATGCAATACTAAAACTAGGTGAATTCCAACATATATACTTAGTCGTGTTATTTTATATAGAAAAACAATATCAGATTTGTCACACTGTTTATTAGGCAAAAATAAACCCACACTGCGGCAGAATAATGACTCATGAAGCATATAATCGATTAAAACTTTTTTCCCAATTTTTCTTCTTCTTCTTATCTACATTCTGCTTCCTGCATGCCATACTGTTACTTTGAATTTTTCCTTTCTTCAACAGATGAGTAATAATGTTACTTGAATTAAAATATATATTTGGAAGTCGTTTTTTCCATGAGAAACAGAAAATACCCATATTTGAAAATACTATCTTTTATACATGGTGAGATTGAGACAACAGACGCATAAGTCACAATGTAATTTCTATTACTATTTCAGGCAACCAGTGAAACTCTCAATGCAAGATAACAACAAGAACGACAGCCAGTGGCAATTAAAGAATTAATCGATAAAAATCAAGAAAACGAGTTACGTCTAGTATTAATCGGCAAATCTGGTCACGGTAAGTCTTAAATGATCTTAAAAAAACATTCAAGATCTGTCTTTTACGAATTTATGCGCCGAAAAATTCATTGCAACTATAGAACAATTGATCTATTTTGATTGTTCACAGAACAAATTCAAAAGAATTTTTGTTCTAGAATGATATTTTTTCATCAGGTTTGACACTATCTAAAAATGACTAATGAGAACAATGTGAACTTATAAAACAGATAAATCTTAATTAATTAACCAAAAATAATTAGCATCAGTGTAAACTCTCGAATATTGTCTTCTATAATATAAAAAATTCACCAATATTGAAATAACTTTTAGTTTTGTATATCTGATTATGCGCTGTTAAATATATTGATTTTGTATTTATTCAAATGCCAAACACCGATTTTTTTACCATGAAGAAATCAGTACTGTGACA